GTAGCCAATTTCTGAGTTGCCCATTCCTGACAAGCCTGTGTACCAAGGGGGTGGGCATAATCCTTGCTGTAAAGATTTGTTCCCTCTTTTAAGCTACGACATCCATAAATATAGGTCAAGTTCATAAAATTGTAGCAGGTTATACTTTTTTCTTTTTCTTTCTTCCTCTAGTTAAGTTCTGGTCATCCAGCCATTGAGCCCATTGTGCCAATCTATCTCATTTGGGGTCTTCCTTTTTTTTTACTGTACCTTTACTTGACCAAGTGCAATGTCCTTCTCCAGGAACAGGTCCTTCTTGGTAGCATGTCCAAAGTATGAGAGATGAAATCTCACTATCCAGCCTTCTAAGGAAGATTCTGGCTATATTTCTTCCAACACAGATTTTTTTTGTTCTGCTAGCAGTCCATGGTATTTTCAGTATTCTCCTCTAACACCGTAATTCAAATGCATGAATTATTCTATGGTCTTCCTTATTCATTATCCACCTTCCACATGCATATGAGGCTCTTGAAAATACCTTGGCTTGGATTAGGCACACCTTGGTCCTCAAATTGATATCTTTGCTCTTTAAAATATTAAAGAGGTCTTGTGCAGCAAATTTGCCTAAAGTAATTTGTCATTTGAATGAGTGTTGATTGTGAATACAAGCAAAATGAAATTTTGGACAACTTCGATAATTTCCCCATTTATCAGGATGTTATTTATTTGTCCAGTTGTGAGAATTTTTGTCTTCTTTAAAGGTGCAATCAATACTAAGTGCTTTCATCTTCATCAGTTAGTATTTTTAAGTCCTTTCACTTTCAGCAAGCTGGGTTGTATCATGTACATATTGCAAGTTGTTAATGATAACTTCCAGTTTACCTAGATCATACTTCATACATTCCATGTTCTTATTATTAGCAGGTGTTTGCAGCTGTTTCTCCTAATTTTGAATTGTGCCCCATCAGCAAATAAAGGTCCTCAAAGCTTTACTTCACTGGCATCATCATGGTCAACTCTATTTAGAGAAGCAGCTCTTCCCCTGTTGTATTTAGAGGGCCTTCCAACATGAGGGATTCATCTTCTACCAGTATTTGGTGTTGCTGCTGTATATCTGACATATATCCCACTGTTATTCATAAGGTTTTCAGTAGGTAAACATTCAGAAGTAGTCCACCTTAACTTCTTTCTAGTCTGTCTTGTCTGGAAGCTTCACTGAAACATATCCACCATTGTTGACCCTGCTGGTATTTAAAATACTGGGAACATAGCTTCTAACAAACATCACAGCAACATGCAAGCCACCACAGTACAACAGACTGACAGCTGAGTGGTAGAACGTTTTCTTGTTGTTGTTGTTAGGTGCCATCGGGTCAGTACTGACTCATAGCAACCTGTAAACAACAGAAAGAAAAACTGTCAGGTTTTGGACCAACCTCACAATCATTGTTACTCCTGAGCCCATCGTTGCCACCACTGTGCTAATCTTGATGGGGGTCTTCCTCTTGATGGGGTCTTCCTCTTTTTCTCTGACCCTTCACTTTACCTAACATAATATCCTTCTCCAGTGACTGATCCCTCTTAATAGTATGTACGAAGTATGAGAGACAAAGTTTGGCCATCCTGGCTTCCAAGGAGCATGCTGGCTGATCTTCTTCCAACATAGATCTGTTTGTTCTTTTGGCAGTCCATGGTACTGTTAATTTACTCCTCTAACACCATAACTCAGATGCATCAATTCTTCTTCAGTCTTCCTTATTCACTGTCTAACATTCGCATGCTATGAGGTGATTGAAAACAACATCACTTGGATCAGGTGCACCTTAGCCCTCAAACTGACTTCTTTGCTCTTCAACATGTTAAAGAGGTCTTTTGCATTAGATTTTCCTAATGCAATATGTTGTTTGATTTTTTGGCTGCTGCTTCCATGACTGTTGAAGTTTGGTCCCAGCAAAATGAGTCTTCAACTACTTCAAACTTTTCTCCATTTATATGGATGTTGTTTATTGGTCCACTGGTGAGGATTTTTGTGTTATTTACATTGAGATGTAATCCATATGAAAGGCTGTGGTCTTTGATCTTCTTCAGTAAGTATTTTAAGTCCTCTTCATTTTCAGTAAGCATGGTTGTATTATCCATATATCACAGGTTGTTAATAAGTCTTCCTCCAATCCTGATGCAGTGTTTTTCTTCTTGTAATCCAGCTTCTTGAATTATTTTCTCAGAATACAGATTAAATAAGTAGGGTTAAAGAATGCAGTCTTGGAACACACTTTTCAAAATTTTAAACCACTTAATGTTCCCACGTTCTGTTTGAACAACTGTCTCTTGGTCTATGTACAGGTCCTCTTGAGCACAATTATGTGTTCTGGAATATCCATTCTCTGCAATGTTGCCCGTAGCTTGTCATGATCCACACAATCAAAAGCCTTTGTGTAGTCGGTAAAACACAGATAAATGTCCTTCTGACGTCAGCAATGCTATCCCTCATTCTCTGTCCTCTTCTGAATCCAGCTTGAACCTCTGGAAGTTCTCTATCAATGTATGGTTGCAGTCATTTTTGGATGACTTTTTGTAAAACTGCTTGCATGGGATATCAATAATATTGTCTAATGATTTCTGCATTTTGTTGGGTCACCTCTCTTTGGAATGGACACAATTATGGGTCTCTTCCAGTCAGTTGCCCAGGTAGTTGTTTGCCAAATTTCTTGGCATAGATGAGTGAGTGCCTCCAGTGCTGCATCAGTTTGTTGAAAACTTTCAATTTGTATTCCATCAATTCCCCATGCCTTGTTCTTTGTTAGTGCCTTCAGCACACCTTAGACTTCTTCCTTCAGGATTATTGGCCCTGGATCATATGCTACCTCTTAAAGTGACTGAACATTGACCATTTCATTTTGGTACAGTGACTCTATGTATTCCTTTCATCTTCTTTTGATGTTTTCTGCATCATTCAATAGTTTGCCCATAGACTACTTCAATACCTTAAGTCGAGGTTTGAATTTTTTCTTCAGTTCTCTTAGTTTAAGCAATGCTAAGCATGTTTTTCCCCTTTGGTTTTCTAACTCCAGGTCTTTGCGCATATAATTATAATATTTGATTTTGTATTCTCAAACTGATTTTTGAAACTTTCTGTTCTTTTATCTCCCCACTTCTTCTGTTAGCTTTAGCAGCTCTATGCTTTAGAGCAAGTTTCAGAGTCTCTTATGGCATCCATTTTTATCTTTTTCTTCTTTCTCGTCTTCTTAATTAACTTTTGCTTTCTTCCTGTGTGATGTTCTTGATGTCATCCCACAACTCTTCTGGTCTTTCGGTCTTTAATGTATCAAATCTGTTCTTCAGATGATCTCTAAATTCGGGTGGGTTATATTCAAGGTCATATTTTGGCTCTATTGGACTTGTTTAAGTGTGAAACTTAATTTTCTTCATCTTCAGTTTGAATTTGCATGTGAGCATTTGATGGACTATAGCATAGTGGTTACGAATCGGGCTGTTAACCGCAGGGTCAGCAATTCAAAACTACCAGATGTTCTGCAGGAGAAAGATGAGGCTTTCTGCTCCCATAAAGATTTACAGCCTCAGAAACTCTGTGCAGGGTCGCTATAAGTCGGTTCCGACTCCACGGCACATAACAACAACCACAAGCTGTCCCTGGCCTTGTTTTGGCTGACTTCTTTTTGTTTCCAAAACTCTAAGGACATTTAAAAGGAATACAATTTGAGCCCTTCGAGGATGCCAAAACTGCTGTTCTGAGGATGTGTAAATTAAAGAGTGCAGAATTCTTTGGGAGAAAATAGCGAAAAGTAAACATCATCTTCAGAAATGCATAGATTTAGACAGAGGGCATATTGAGAAACAGTAGCTTCACGTTTTGATATTTTTGTTTAGTAAATATTTCTGTGATTTTGTAGCAATACTTATTGACTTACCCATGAATTATACATATGCTGATCTACACATACACACATGTTTGTTTTCCCAAAACAGAAAAGAGCTGCTAAGAGAGAAGAAGCATTAGCGTCATTCGAGGCTTGGAAAGCGATGAAAGAAAAGGAAGCAAAGAAAATGGCTGCCAAAAAGCGGCTTGAGGAGAAAAACAAGAAGAAAACTGAGGAGGACAATGCTGTGCGGAAAGGAGAAGCACTACAAGTATTCAGCCTTATGAATCTCCTCCTTAAGAACTGTTTTAATTATTTAAAATCTATATTAGTGATTTACCATAATTTTGTCCTTTTGAGACAGTATTATAAAATCAGCAAAAAGGAAAATTCATGTTGGTAAGTAAAACCATTCTGAATTTTTTTAGGCTTTTGAGAAATGGAAAGAAAAAAAGATGGAGTACCTGAAAGAGAAAAGTAAAAAGGAGAAAGAGCATGAAAGAGCAAAGAAGCAGAAAGAAGAAGAAACTGTTGCTGAGAAAAGGAAAGATAATATAACTGCAGTGGAAAAATGGTAATCTACTTTTTATAGTTTTAAACTAATAACATTTCGGGCTTCACTAGAATTTATTTACCTAAAGTTTACACATTAATATCAAAGACTGATGAGGGAGTCTTTACTATATATTCTGTAATTTCCTCATATTTTATACTGTCCTACATAGGAATGAAAAAAAGGAAGCATTTTTCAAGCAAAAGGAAAAAGAGAAAATCAATGAGAAGAAAAAGGAAGAACTGAAAAGAGTTGAGAAAAAAGATAAAGATAAACAAGCTCTTGGTGAATATGAAAGATGGCTGGTAGGTATTGTTTTTGTAATGCACTTATGTTGTACATCTTTACACATCTCATTTATCTTAGTTGTTATTGTTTTTAAGGGTCACTGAGTTGGAACCAACTCAGTTCCAACTCAGCAACCCTGAATTGAGTTCCTCTGAGCAGCTGGTGAGTTTGAACCACTGACTTGTGATTCAAACTACCTTGTGGTCCAGAGCTTATCCTACTGCGCCACACCAGGACTCATTCCCATTAATCTTTAGTAATAAATGGACAGTACTAGTAAATAAATGGATAGTACTAGTAAATAGACAGTACATTTATGCATAGGGTTTCTAAGGAGCAGCTGATGAGCTTGAACTGCTGACCTTGTGGTTCAAACTATCCTGGCAGTGCAGCGCATTAACCCACAGTACCACACCAGGACTCCAGCTATTGAATAGTGAGCCTTTTTTTTTAGATAAGCAGTTAAGCTAGGTGTTTGTCAGAGTTATCTGAGAGTCCACATATATCCTGTTCTTTCCACAACCTTTTGGCCCTATTTGTCCTTTCATCAATAATCTTTAAGCTCTTGCTCTACTAAATACACACAATACACTTTCTCATTTCTTCTTTTTACTGTTGCACTTCCCATCCTAACTATTCTTTCAAAAACTCTTCCATTCTTTAGAATCACACTATCTGGAATCTTGCTTCTCTTTGTGACATGTTCCATCTTGTTGGTTATTGCTACATTTTTTTAAGTCTTCTGTAAATGTTTCCTCAAAGTTGCATCCTTGAACCTTTTTTTAAAATCATCTTTGTTCTTCTGTTTCCTAGGAAGAACTCTTAGCTTCACATGGTATTTCATCTCTGTATTTCAATACGTATATTTTCTACCTCTCATTCCAGTTCTATTTGCCTTTTACTTACTGTTTCATACCTCCCTTCTGTACATACTATATTTTCTTATTTGTTCACTCATTTTTAGTATTCCTCAAATCTTCAGACTTAAAACTTGCAAGTGTTAATAATCTCCCTCACCTTTTCATCCCCACATTTCGTCATTTACCAATCATGCTTATTCTTCCCGTGAAATGATCCTCACATATTAAACCACTTAGCGTAATAAACTACACTACTTAGGGTTTGCCAGATGATATTTAATGGAACTTGGCAATGACATATTGTAACATTGAATTTAATAGTGAAAGTTATTTCCTTTTGTATTCTCTTTCACTTTTTCTAATAACCTCAAGGAGAAGGTTGTCTTAAGGTTTTTTTTTGTTTTTTTTTTTACAAAAAGAGTGTAAATATGAGGCCTAGGAAGAATAATATCTAGCTGGACTTTACAGACATTCTTTTGTTTGTTTCAGTATACTTACGTTTATAGTTACTTTTTATTTATGTAAATTATCACTGTAAATACTTATTAACTTTTGAGTGAGTAAGTCATTTATATAAACAGGTACTTTCCATTACTAGATACATTACATTCACATGATTCAGTAACTGATAAAAAGTATAAATTGCACTTAGTGAAAAGTATCAAATTATATATAGTGAAAAGTCTTCCTTCCACAGTTAGTGACCAATCACTTTATTTCTACCTTCCTATCAAAAAGGAGTACTGGTGTGGTGCTGTGGGTTAATGCGCCAGACTGCAAAGCAGGGTCAGCAGTTCAAGCTCACCAGCTGCTCTTCAGTAATCCTATACAGGGTTGCTATGGGTCAGAATCGACTCGACAGCATTTAACAACAACCACCAAAGGAAACCCTATACAGGGTTGCTATGATTGGGAACCAACTCTATAGCACTTAACCAACAGGAGAGTAACATAGTGAATGCTTCCACAAGTAAATAAGAATACTTTTGCCTTTTTTAATACAAATAGCACACTGTGTACACACTGTTCTTCACTTTGCAATGTTCAACACATTTTGGAACTATTTCCTTATCAATGTGTATAGACCCTCATTGTTTTCAACAGTGCATAGTAAACATAATAAGATCTATTGTGTCTCCTATTGATAAGCATTTATCTGGTGGTGGTGGTTATGTGCCATGGAGTCAGTTCCAACTCATAGCGACCCTGTACAGGGTTTCCAAGGCTGTAAATCTTTACGGGAGCAGAAAGCCTCATCTTTCTCCCACAGAACAGCTGGTAGTTACGAACTGCTGACCTTGCGGTTTTATGTAGTTCTGCATTATTTGCTTTTACTAACAAAGCTGCAGTAAATGACTCTATATAGTCATTCAGCACATATGCAAAATATGGGTAGGATAAATTCCTAGAGTTGAATTACTGAGTTAAAGTTTTTACATTTTATAACTGTGATAGTTAACTACCAGAAATGTCTTACATATGGGTTTGTATAGTTTTGTAGCTAATAGACAGTCTGTTTCTTCACAGTCTGTTGAACAAAGATTGTCATACTTTCTTCCCCTTGTAATTCATGCTACTCTGATGTACCCATGTTTTGATTTGCATTTCTCTAATAAACTAAGGTTGAGTGTTTTTGTTTAACAACCGTTTATATTTTTTGATCTATAAACTACCAGTCTGTAGACTCTGCCAATTTTTCCATTAAGTTGCTGGTCTTTTTCTTACGTAGCATAGCTTGGATCAGATGCACATAAGTCTTCAAAGTGGTATCTTCTAGAAGCTTCTTTATATATTAAGGAAATAATCCTTTCACTTTTAATATTAGTTTCAAATATTTTTTCCTAATGTATTGCTGTCCTCTTAACTTTACTTCTGGCATTTTGATGTATAGAAATTTATTTTAATAAATAATGACATTTATTAATATTTTTTCTTTTAGCTTCTTATTCTGTTATAGTTGAAAATTCTTTTTCTATGATTTCAGATTAGAAATAGTTCTGTTGTTTTTATTTCCAGCAATATTATGATTTTAATTTGATCTGTTTAGCTCGATATATGGTCACTATGGGTCGGAATCAACTCTACCACACTTAACAACAACAACAAAATGGTGGGAAATGTGATTCTAACTTTAATTTTTCCAAATGAATCTTTTCTAGAATAGTCGTCTTTTGCTCAAAAATATGAAAGTCTGTGTTTCCCATGTCTTTGGGGGTTTTCTTTTTAGACTTTCGGTTTTATTGATCAGTATCGTTGTACATATTCCAGTGGCACACTGTTTAATTATTAGGACTTTTTACATTTTCCTATCTGGTTGGCTTCATCTTCCATCTTAGGTTTTCTTTCAATATATTTGTGGCTATTCTTATTTGCTTATTTTCTCATGTAAAGTTTAGAACCAACACTAGTTAGCAAGGCATCTGGAACCTACAGTGAGCTATTAAAAGACAGTAGAAAAAGATAAAACACTTAGGAATAAACTTAAGAATTGTCCAAGATATGAAGAAAACTTTGTAACATTCCAGAAGGCCACTAATGAAGACTTAAGAAAATGGAACAAAAGTGTTCTGGATAGAAACACTCAACCTGATAAAGGGGTCATTTTCCCACAATTTCATTTACAAATTTATTGTAATCATAGTACAAATGCCAGCAGATTTGTTGTTGCATATGTGTTACTTTAGCACTGTTATTGTTAGGAGCCATTGAGTTAGTTCCAGCTCATAACAACCCTGTATACAGCAGAATGAAACTCTGCCTGGTCCTGCTCCAGCCTCATAATTGTTGTACTGTTTGAGCCCATTGTTGCTCCACTATGTCAGTCTGTCTCATTGAGGAGCTTCTTCTTTCTCACTGACCTTCTACTTTACCACGCATAAATAGTGTCCTTTACAGGGACTCGTCCCTCCTAATAATATCCCCAAAGTACAAAAGAAAAAAGTATATCCATCCTTGCTTCTAAGGGGCATCCTGGCTGCATTTCCTTCTAAACAATTTTCTGGAAGTCAGTAATTCAGCAAGCCCCATAGTTCAAAGGTACCAATTTTCAATCTTTCTTATTCATTTTTCCTTATTCATAAGTCAGTTTTTAGAACTGAAAATACCATGGCTTGGGTTAGATTTACCTTAGTATTCCAAGTGGCATCTTTGCTTTTAACACAAGAAGTTTTGTGCAGCAGATGTGTCCAATGCAATAAATGTTGTTTGATTTCTGACTCGTGTTTCTGTGGGTGTTGATCATGGATCCAAGTAAAATGAAATCCTTGACAGCTTCAATCTTTTTTCCATTTATTATATTGCAACTTATTGGTCTTTATCACTACTATTTGCTGCTTCCCCCACAGATGTAGTCATATAATGTTTACTAATGAGTTGGAACTGGCTCAATGACAATTCAACAATGAGTGTTTTTCCATTCTTGATACCACATTCTTCTCCATATAATATAGCTTCTTGAATTACTTGCTCAGCATAGATATTGAATAAGCATTGTAAAAGGACACAACCATGACACACTTTTTCTAATATTAAACCATTCAGTATCTTCTTGTTCTATTCTAACGAAACAACTGCTTCTTGGTCTATGTGCAGGTTCCTCATCAGCACAATTAAATGTTCTGGAATATTCATTTTTCACAATATTATCAATAGCTTGTCATGATCCACACAGTCAAAAGCTTTTTCATAAATGATAAAGCACAGTTAAATATCTTTCTGGTATTCTCTGCTTTCAGGCAAGATCTATCTAATATAAACAGTGAGGGTCCTAGTTCTGAGTCCTTGTCTGAATCCAGCTTGAACTTATCTATGTACTGTTGCAGCCATTTTTAAATGATCTTTATCAAAATTTAACCTGCATAAGATGTTAATAATATTTTTGGATGATTTCTGCATTCCGCTAGGTCACCTCTCTTTGGAATGGGCACAGATACAGATCTCGTCCAGTCAGTTGGCCAGGTAACCATCTTCCAAATTCCTTTACATAGATGAGTGAGTGCCTCCAGTATAAGTTTGTTGAAAGCTTTCAGTTTGTATTCCAAAAATTCCCAGAGGCTTGTTCTTTCCCAGTGCCTTCAGTGCACACTGAACTCCTTCTGTACCATTTGCTTTTGATCATATGCTATCTCTTCAAATGGTTGAACATCAACCATTTCTTT